GAGTAAGGGGATTAGATGATGCATAATTTAAATCAGTTAAATTATTGGTCAGATAGCGCACCATTCGAGCAGGTGGATTTGTTGGTCAGAAGGCGCACCATTCCTGTAAGTTGAATAAATGGTCAAATGGCACATCATTCAAGCAAATGAAAATGTTGTTCGAACGGCGCATCATTCGTGTAAGTTGAATGGTTGGCCTATTGACACATCATTCGAGAAGGTGGAATTGTTGGTCAGACGGCGCATCATTATAAGTTCATCATTTAACCTCGCCAGAAATCAATGTTAAAGTTTAATTTAGTATGACTATAGTTAACCTTTATTATAACAAACGTTGGATGTCTACAGCTGATTCCAACACAATTGAATCAAGATATCGAGATTCTAGACTATTTATCATTTAATGTGTCCCCAACTGATTTCGGCGAAGAAATAAACGTTTTCTTATTTTTATCACGAAATGCAGGAACAATTAGACAGGAAACGCTCACCAAGGCTAAGCCCACCGTTCAGACAAATATTTTATCCGAGAACAGTTATCCTGTCACGCTATTTATACGGTCAATTCCTCTATTATCTAAAATGTAGTATATAGAAATCATTATTTACCATAGTACACTCGGAATTTTAGATAAATAATGTATACTTATGATTAAAACAAAATCGACCCGTCTCCATGCACATCCATCAAAACGGTATGGACGTCGTACAGCATAAATGAGATCAAGACAACAATTCTTTAAAAAGAGAATAAGCGAAATCATCTTAAGAAAGAAAAGAACAAATGTGCTACATTTGGGTAAAACCATGATAGTAATTAGTATTGCAACTTATTACTGGTATACATCTGGCATCCGTGGTTTGAATGGCTACGAGGGAAATCTTTTATTATGGAAAGAAGAAATTCGCTTGTAACAGTCTACGGCCGGGAATGAGATTTACGACAAATAACCCGTCATTACCAAGTAATTATCCGCACTGTTTATTGATCTTACAAAGTCTTTATCAAATTCAATCTGTCAAAATCTAGTTAACGTATGGAGCTAACGACCGAGTTTCTGCCCAGCCCTCACCTCACAGATAAACACTTACTGTGACTATAATATACAAATCTGACGCGGACCTGTAAACCGGAACCCTGTGGTACGTCTGCAATTCCAGAGATGTGTTAAATTGTATTAGCACCTGGCCAGCTGAAACCTCAACTAAAAAAAAAATCTCCAGAAAGAATTGCCAAAATGGTGGTTTAAAGCAAAATTGCAAATCTATATTTTTTTACGAATTACATAACGTCTGTCTAGTGCTTATATTGGATTTGCTAATGCTACATTTTAATTCCAAACGAATATCTGAAACCTTTTAAAGGAACAGTTGTGAATAAGGGTCAGCCGAAATCTGTATACATTACTGTACCGTCGAATCATATATATATACTTGTACATTTTCGACAAAATGGCCACCATATATACAGTAGCACTAACATAAAGTTTACAATTACTTCACCGGCATTATTATGCTATGCTTTGAGATATTTTTAAAAGGGAACATTCTCAGGCAAAAAGTTTAAAGCAGGGAACTCGACATTACTGGTTGTGACTTCTGCCCGGTTTAATTTCGTCAATGAAGGGAATAAGTAAGCATATACGTATACATATGGAGGCGGCGTCGCGGTTCTCGTGCCCTACTTTATACAGAGATATTGCCATTTGTTTACTTCAGTTTCTTTCTTCGTTCACAGTTTTCTAGTTAGGGTAAATGCATTCACCAAATCTGCATTACATCTCGAGAACGTAGATTGTCGTCTACGAAAAGTTGGTCTGATGTTGATAAAGAGTTAGGATCCTTTGTATATTTTTGACATCAAAGGTTGTCCAGACGTGAACTTCCTTACAACATGTATCTTTTCGCAAAGGTAACTGGAGATATGCCATTAGAGTTAAGTCAAACAGTTAACTAGATCCTATATGACTAATTCATGAGATGAATAGTTTACATCATTTGATCCATCAAGGATCCATTTAACTGTTTGACTTAACTCTAGTCATAAACATTGCATACAAATATTATCAAGTTAGGATTGTCTCCCATTATTTGATACCGGATTGGACACAACTTGTTATATGTTATTAGTTTGAGCCGGTCCGTTTGTTAAGTTTTAGTTTCCGTGCAATAACTTCCCTAAAAATGGTCCGATTTCAACGAAAATTGGAATGTACATACATATCATTATTATGTTTGAGGATGAATTCAATCATGATTGTGATCTATGCAAATTACACATACAATGTACTTAAGAGGTTATACGCTTGTGATTGGATTCCGTGTAATAACTGCCATACTAATGGGTCTATTTTAACGAAATTCGTTATGCACATACATGTTAACATGTGTCAAGCTGAGTTTAATCGTGAATGGGATTCATGCAAATTTTACAAACTTAATGAAGTTACAATCCTGAGATTGTCTAATTTGTTTCCTTGCAATTACTGTCCTTCTAATTAGTCTATTGCATCGAAATTCGTTTTGTGCATACATGTTGACCTTTCCCAGACCGACCTCGACCACGAGTTTGATCCTTGCATATTTACACACAATTAATAAGGCTGCAAATATAGACTTAATCAAATACATGTCTTGAAAGCGGGGGATAGAAAGTCCCTGGAACTACTTGTATTGGATTATATATGTTCGAATTTTGAATGTTTAAAAAAAACCAGACAAAACAAAATCAAACACAAACAACAGTGCCTCCTGGTAATGCAGAAGTTGTTGGAAGGTTTTTACATATTTGAACTTAAGGTCAAGGTCAATTATTTGGAGAAACTTTAAAGCACTCCATGCCAGGTACCACTGGCCAACTACCATCGCCCTGGGCGTCCCGGTTAATAAGAAAAGGTTGTCTTAAGGGCTATTAAATATTTGATCCCAGTGCCCTTTAAAGTAGGTAAAGGCATTTATTTTGGGAAAGCTTAAAGTACTCGGTCTCAGATACCTACTGGCCAAGTAAGATCAATCACGGTATCCTGTTTATTCCGAAGTAGTATGACCTTGAAAGTAGATAAAACTCTTTCCCAGGTAACTACTGGCCAAATATCATTGCTCTATGCCTGTTGGTTATTCAGTAGAAGTTGTTTTAAGGCTTTTAACACATTGGACCGGTGATTTTGAAAGTAGGTCCAAGTAATTTATTTGAGGACAGCTTATAGCAATTCATGAAGTTTTCTTGAAAGTTTTTACATATCTGACTGTGACCTTGAAAGTAGGTAATTTATATGAGGAAAAATTCACAGCACTCTGTCCCAGGCAACTACTGGCCAAATATCGTGGCCATAGGTCCTCCAGTTCTTTATTAGTGGTTCCAAGAAAAAGTTGACAAATGAGAATGGATAACACACCATACCATAAGCTCAACTGGTTATTCATGCCAGGTGAGCTTACAATATTGTCACATACTGAACAAAATGTGTTCTTTGGGTCATCCAGGAAGCTATTGTGGTACTGTGGCAGCTTCCGGGCTTGAGGTAAATTGTCCTTCTCAAATATACTGTAGGACTAATTCTGAAATCTTTAAATCCACCATAACATGATACATCATCTTCTGTCCTTTCTTCACTTTACCTCTGATGGTGGTCGCTAATATCCTTCCGGAATATCTTTTTAAATAATGCCCATGTGACCTCGAAAGTATGTCAGTCAGTTATAAGAAAACTTTATAGCACTCCATTCAAGAGAGATACTTGTAAGTTATCACAAGGCTGGGTCTTTAGTTCTAGTATTTCACAGAAGAAGCTGTGGACAAAGCACAAGACTTGATGGCCAACGTGTCATACCAACGAGCAGTTAATGTTTATAATTGATTTCATCGAGACCGTCACATCAGACATGCTAATGACGCACTATAACCTGAACATGACAGTAACCATGAGGTGACTGACCACTTGAACAATAAGGAAACGATACCCCCCTTACCATAGCCACAACGTTTATATTGTATGTGATTATGAGGCAACTGATGAAGGTTTTTACATATTCCCACAACACATGCAAACAATTCTCAGCTGCAAAAATACCGGATTTTGTTTGGTTTATCTTGCAATCATTACCTAATCAATCAACTTTTGAACCCTCCAGGTACCTCCATTGTTGGTTATTACAGTATTATGACAGATAGGTGGTAGAGGCCAGATATGGACCTGCTAATTTGATATTTATTATCAATTTTAACATATTTAATTATTTTTCTATGAATTTTTGAAATACTTATATTAAATTTTGTTCATCTGTAATCGTAGTCCATAAAAAACCCAGAATGTTTTGTGTCATCCCAAACACTCCCGAGATGGCTTTATTTAAGATTTAAAATTTTGTTGCCAGATCCTATTCACCTGTGTACTTATTATATATGATGAATGAAATAAAATATTGTTGAAACCAAACACTCTAATTTCCCCTCTGATTGTGTCGCTCTGTATGCTGTCCAAAGGGAGGCAACTCCCTTTCATTCGCTTGTTCCATGGCAATTTCTACATAGCGGTGGTAAAGAACGATAACTCGAAGTAAGAGACTGGTTCCATGGATACTTCCCAATAATTTAATCACTTCCCCCTTACATGCAGCATATGTACCTGTAACAACCTTTTTGGCCCCGTCCTAGTCCCAAATAGGGCAATCCTCAATTTAACCCTCTTCTAGTTACACAAAGGTAAAGAGCTAATGCAAAGTCTGATCAAGATGTACCACCTATTGTCAGAACAATAGAAAAGACGTTCAATGTTCCTCTACTATGTTAATGGGGCACAAACATGAAACGGTGTAGATAATGCTATTAAATCCATAAAATAGGATTGTCGTCAACATCTACATATCATTTTATGTAGTTTATAGCAAAGGTGACATTTTGACCTTGACCTAATCCCGATATCCAATTTTCATGGACAAACAGAGATGGGAGCAAAACCCTTCTAGGAACAAGTGGAACATCAACAATTTAACACATAATGTCGAAACAAATATATGTATTATTCCACCTCATTTTCTAAAAAACAGTTTACATAGTAGAATACACATCCATATGCTTCATCAATATTCATAACATCATTTACATTTATTCATAATACACGAATGAGGCCAAAGATCAGAAAATGATATAAAATTCCAAATATGAGCACTTCTTTTACAAAATCTTTTAATACCACTTCAAAGTTTAACTTGTCAGTCAAATTAGGCATAGCCCAGGGAAATGCTTTAATGCTATTCAAGACAAGTATGTTTGATGACAGTCCATTAGTTCAAATTCTCAAAAATAATAATGTATAAGAAATATGAATGTCAAGAGTCAGGAACATGTGAATAGCAGTAATATAAGTAACCAGTATGTGGTTTCATTCACGATCCATGTCTTTTATTTTTATTTTGGCATGACTGTAAAAATTGCACTCATCCTATTTATTTACATTTATCTACACAGAAGGCCATGCCTTTTCTTGAGGAAAATTTTGAGAACATACAGATTCTTTTCTTTGTGAACACTGGCTTTTTTTTATAAACAGTCATACAAACAGCCGTGTGTCAGGTAGTAATAGTAAAAAAAATGATGGTAGGAAAATTGTTCAATGCATTTAAAACAAGTTTATTAGTGTTTGTTTAAAGCGGGTATAAATTATAAAACCTAGAAGTGTACACAAGTAAAATAAATATAATGAATGTGTAACAGAAACCTTTGATTTCAAGACCTGATGATGGTTAAAAAACTTGTTTATCAAAAGATTCTAAAATTCCTAGTCTCCAACCATATTCTCCATTCTCTGCGCCGTGTAATTTGTTCTGTAGGATATCAGTATCGGGAGGAAAAATGTTTGCCTGCATTCAGTATTCATTTCTTATTTTCCTTTTCCCCAAAATGCATTTACTCATCATGATCAATGATCAAGGATCAACTTTAAGAATGCATTTAAACACTTTTTATATCACTTTGGTTCACTTACACTCCCCTACCCAACATATTTGAAGTTGATTTCTGAATTAATATCATTTATCTTCGTGAATTAACATTAAAACCACTTATAAATTTGATGATGATAAGACTCTTGAATCACAGGAGAAATCCTGTAAATTACAATCCAGTGGCACGTTTTTCCCGCAAATTAAACTATTATGCTGATCCCGACGTCATAAAAATGAAAACTTTGGTTGCAGTTGGGTTTTAAGTCCAGCAAATAGTGGTTGTTAAACCAACACTCAACTACAGAACGTTTGTCAAATCATTTAATTACATGTATAAATATGCGCCAATGAGAATGATAAAAATATTAATTTCGCTGCAATAAATGACCTTCCGTAGATTCTATGAGACCGTTACAATGAAAAATGAAACAAATAAAATAATGTACACTCTACACACATAACTTGCACACACCTACACATCAACATCCAAACAACACCGACACGCTCACCAATCATTCATCTAAAATTTATAAAGAATACAAGTGCGAGGCTGTGGCATTCAACTCATTCCCGACCTGTAGATTCTGGCGTTTTTAGAAAAATACAATTTTTAGAGTCTACATATCAGGCAATCCTTCAGGACGAATTGATGCACAGGAAGTCCTTGATCTACAACTGTAAGAACTTATAATAGCAAGTCCTGATTTCACCAGGCAGTCTAGTACGATATTTCAAACATCTAGATTTCCATATTCTTCCATTTTGAATGCTATATGCTTTTCCTGCCAATGTCCAAAAACTTGATTAAGGCTCAATACCCTTTGTATCTTGAGTCAGTGTTTTCAATCTGTTTCCATCTAGGGAGAGAAAAAAAATCAAACATGGATGAATAAATCATACAGAAGGTAAGTAAATAATTGAATTCAATTAACGCTTTCAACAAAGTCTTCAAAATGAGCTGCCGGATTAGTAGTCTAGCTAGTTATATATCAAACTTGACCTTAAAGGGAGGTAACCGTACAATTGAAATGCTTCAGAAAAATCTGTTGGTATGGGATTCTTATACAGAAATTTCCATTTTGTTAAGGTCACCACACAAACTGCCAGGTTTTCATTATGTCACACTGCTCATGCAGCTGATGTTGCCTGTTCTCGATGTATAATAAGTTTGTTTGGCACCGATCAAGCCGACATGAAACCATCCAGTTATTTGTCTGAATGCATGATAATATGTGATGACAGTGTCAGGAACATAGCTCATTTAAATTTTCTAGACGTTTAATTTTGAATGTGTCCAATTTCTCACGATAAATACACCACCGATACTCTAGCCGTTGATTTTGAATTTGGTGGATCTTAAGGATGGTATGCCACTAGTACCTATATGCTTATTTAATATTCTAAAAAATATCCATGTGTTTGTTATTTTTTGTTTTAGCTCTATCGCAGAATTACTCCCATTTGGCTCCGCCCATCTGTTTTCTAGAATGTGATGTCACACCTGTTCAATTAGACTGGCCATCGTCTCTAGAATATTGAATAATTAAGAAAAAAAATCAACTCCAATAATTTTGATCACTTGGATGTCTGATTCGATGTTCTAAACTAGGGGGGATAAGCTAGTAGTAAAATACAGTCGAGAAATTCCTCATAAAAACTTAGGGGCTGGTGGCCAGTCTACTGTCCAATAAGTGAAGCGCTTAAAAGACAGGTGAGTAACTTATTGGACAGTTGGTCAAACTTATTGTCCAGTTCATACAGCTTATTGGACACGTGTGACATCATCACTTATTCACTTTGTTTCATGAATGATTGACATACCTTCGAGTTGTAAGCATCAAGTTCAGCATCCAATTCTGCGGCTGTTGGTGTTTTCTTGTTCTCTCTTCCACCACCACCACCTCCTCTTCCACCTCTGCCTCCTCGGCTACCTCCCCTTCCACGTCCACCACCACCACCAAAAGATCTGTAAACGAAATACAACTCATTTTGAAATTTCAAGTCACATCTTATTTTTTTCAATAAAAATTGACAAGACCTCATGTTGTACAAAATTGACTGGAAAATACCTCAAATAAGACAGCCAGTTGTCATATTATGCTCCGACATACAAATCTCATCAATTTTGTGTCATGAAAGATTAGGAAATTAATGCCATTCGTGAAAACTGTTTCTGAAAATGCAAGCTTGTAAGGAAATGCTGTTTACCATGGTTAATTAAACCAATGTAATGAAATAGAAAACTAGATGTAACTCGAAGAGGGGTCTTCATGAATACCCCCACTTTGATTGATCAGGAATTGGTGAGAGTGATGGCCATGTGGATTGGAAGAATCAAGTGAAGAGTTTATATGCTGGAAGTCTCACGTTACGTAGGTCACAGGTCACGGTAGAGGTCACAATGACCTACATATGCAACACACCGCCTTCCATTGTGTACCCACAAACCAAGATTCATAAACGTAGGTGAAATAGTACGGGAGATATACCCCGGAAACCTTTCTGACAACATTATGTAGGTCAGACTTCACGGTAGAGGTCTCAGTGACCTATATATGGTATGCGACACACCAACTTTTATGCATGTACCCACAAACCGAGATTCATAAACGTAGGTAAAATAGTACGGGAGATATGCTCCGGAAACCTGACAACATTATGTAGGTCAGAGGTCACAGTGACCTACATATGGTATGTGACACACCGCCTTCCATGCACTCACAAACCAAGATTCATAACTGTAGGTGAAATAGTATGGGAGATATGCCCTGGAAACCTTTCTGACGACATTATGTAGGTCAGAGGTCACAGTGACCTACATATGGTATGTGACACACCGCCTTCCATGCATGTACCCACAAACCAAGATTCATAACCGTAGGTGAAATAGTACGGAAGATATGCTCTGGAAACCTTTCTGAGGGACGGACGAGGCAAACACTATATACCCCCTACTTCGTCGAAGCGGGGGTATAATAATTCATTTCAGTCCTTATGTAAAGTTTTCATCAAGACAAGTCAAAGTGTCTGTATTAGCTCAAAAATATTAACAGATAAGGTCTATTGCTTCTTTCACATTCCATCTCAACTAAACCAACAATGCAATCTTTCCAGAGTGTATCAGCTATTCAAAAGTTTTTATCAGCAGACCAGCTGAATAATTATTTATAAAGATAATTCAGGGTATAACAATATATTGAGAAACTACAACACTTGACTCTTCAATGTGTATCGTAATCAATATCAAGTAAGTACAAAAATGGGTGGCTTCAAAATTGTTTGCATGATTAGATTTTTTATGGGTTTTTGCCGTAACAAGTGCTGATTGGGCTTCATTGCAGTTTAAACAGTCAAAATTTCCATATAAAATTTCCAAATGATTTCTTCTAATTTGGTTACCTTCATGATGATAGAATTGAATAGAAGCGTGTTTATCAGTTCATTATAACATCATAAAGATTTCTTTGGCTGTTTAAAGTTGCAATTCTCAAACTCAGCCGTAATTGATAGACCATTTCAGATCTGACAGTATCTGTGGCTATAACTTACCTGCCAGCACCTCTACTCCTCTGGCCTCCGCCGCCGCCACCACCACCACCACCACCTCCAGTCCTTTGGTTCATATTGATTCTGGTACTCATGGGTATAGCTCCTCCCTCTGATGCTCCTATTAACTGAATGCTCATCTGTCGGCCTATAACAAAAATGTGCTTCATGTACTATAATTCTTATTTAAGAAAAGCGTGATTATTATAATGCCCAATTGCCCTTGCCATTTTTGGGGAAATCCACGGGGGAAATAATTTTCCAATCTCCTCAATTTCACCTCGGAGTAGGGAAACTTCCAGATTAAAAAAAAACCTAGAATTATGTCAGTATGACATTACAGCCGCTCACCACTTTAGATTTAATTGCTTCAGTAACACATTGAGCATCAATATCTACTATAATACCTCATATATGTGTTCTGTATTCTGCTAATTGAAAATCAGGTCATGTGATGATGTTGCCTTTGGGATTTTCAAAATCAATCGCCACTTAAATGATGCCTTAAAAACATTTCTCCCTCTCCTCTTTTTTCACCCTCTTTAAGTGTGATGCATTGTTTTTTTCCTCCAATGATGTGAAATGAGCATTTACGTGCAGCATGGCAATCGGTGAATGGATAATAAAGAATAGGTGCAATTAACAGTAGTGGGAAAACATGCTTGGAGAAAAGAGACATTGTACTCCTTTTATTTTTATTCATTTTTTATTCATACTAATTATAATCATTGATATATGTAGCGACTATATTTACCGTCATTGAATATACAAAATCTTACAAATGTTCTTCGAATATATTTGAATTATATTTCTCAATGTATCTTTAACAACGTAAGAGTTATTTCTCTTATACCGAATTGGATATTATTTTGACACGGCGCCAATTCTTGTCAAACAGCAGCGGCTGTTGTTTCATGTTCTTAAATTGTTACACTTTCATAAATCAATATACCAGAAATAGCATGCTGTGTTACAAAAATGTTTGATAAGCATACACAGTTCACATATCGTCCGGTCTCCGAGCCATTACCGTTATCAACCTAAGCGCGATATGTCATATTACGTTCCCGTTTCAAACATCAAAATAGAGGGTATACTTCATCACTCATACGGTTTATAAGTATATATATTTACTTCTTCCTTCTTCAGACAGCGTCAATGCTCGACAGTCTTCACATGTGCTTTCTCGAATCATGTGTTTCACACGCGTAACACTCATCAGACCACAAACCGAGTTGCTAAAACGGTCAAACTTAGTGCACAAATTTCACCACCATAACACTCTTAGAATGCACCGGAGATAAACTTTTTTTCAGCAATTATTTAAAGTAAGGATTATTATTTGGAGAGGAGTATCAGAAGACTTTATGTAACTCACAGGTGAGTGTCTGAGATTCTACTTTCTATTTGTGATAACGAAACTATATAGCGGAAACATGCAAGACTGAAGCACGCACGCACCCCAAACGAAAGTGGGTTCGTCATTTCGTTCTCTGGAGAGAATTAATAAGCCGCTTGGCTCTCGCCAAGAGCGGCTTAAAAATAATCCAAAGTTATTGAGAATTTTTATATTATATGCATTTCAAGCCCTTGTTATACTAAGATCATTAAAATTTAGAATTGTTATCATATGCAGTAAGGAAAAAATGATCAACTTTCCTCTAAATCAAAAAAGAAATTTTGCAAAAACCCAGATTAGTCCCTGAATGCAAATATACAGAAAAGAGTGGGTTTTTTTAATGCTTATCAAGAATTTCTAAACACTTGCATGATGTAAATTATTTATAAAACCACTCAAATTAACTGAACAGAGGGGAAGTAGACTTCCAAGAGGTCCATTCGACCTGTATCGCTCACCTGGTTTTATATATAGTCAGTACAACTGAATGCATTAGTACATCTTTATATGAAATTTCCGCAAAAACCAGACAAGATCTATGTTATTACCCAACTGGGACCACAATATCTGCCTTTCAACTAATCAGGGGCCTCCATTGATGTTCCATCATGTTTACAGATTTTGAAATAAGTAATATGTCATATTGCAGGGTGTAATTAGACAATACTTTAATTTTCATTAAACTATAAGCTTTTATAAATCTAGAAACCAATTTTTAACAATTTATGAAAACTACACCATAGAATATTATAATCTAGCTGTACCATTTCCTAGGAACGCACGGTCAAATCAACCTCATTCAATTAAGGAATGTTTCTTCTCTCTCAATAATGTTTTAGACCAAATTTTGTACAATCCACTTGGGCAATTGAGGATATTAGCGCGTTAAAGCAAAATATTATATAATTTTCCTCTTTGGGGCCCGGCCTACCTAGCCCCAGGGGTCGAACAAGACTCATTTATTTAGGAAATGATTGCCCTCCCCCCCCCAATGAAGTTTCAGAGCAAATTTGGTTAAATCGTCTCTGGCATTTAGGAGATGTGTTTTAAAGCATATTTAGCTAAGTTCCCCTTCAGGACCTCGCCCCCCCTGGTCTCAGGGTTGAACCAACCTCATTTACTGAGGAAATGATTTCCCTCCCCCAATGAAGTTTCAGAGCAAATTTGGTTAAAATCGTCTCTGGGGTTGAGGAGATGCGTTTTAATGCAAAATTTTAGCCAAGTTCCCCTTCAGGGCCTCGCCCCCCTGGCCTCAGGGGTCGAACTTACCTCATTTATTCAAGAAATGATTGCCCTCCCCTACTGATGCTTCAGACTGAATGTGGTTGAAATCGTCTCTGGCGTAAGGAGGAGATAGGTTTAAGAAAAGGTTGATGACGGACCATGCGGACACTGCGCCACAGCATAAGCTCACTATGGTTCTTCGGACCAGGTGAGCTAATAATGGTGTGATATATACATTAAGGACAGGTGAAATAGTAGATTGGATGTTAATTCAAGGTTTTTTCCCCTGATGTGAACCTTAAAAATAAGGGATTTTCAGGGCAACTGCATATTAGAAGATCTTGACTGATGTTTACCATCTAAGGGTACATTGTTGTATTGTTTCATAGCCTTCGCTGCATCTGCCCTTCTCTCAAATATCACCTCTGCTGTACCAATGGACCGGCCCGATCTGTCGTAGTGTACAGCTGCCTTCTTCAGATTACCAAACTCAGCAAATAATTCCTGCAATAATGAATGAATCAAGGTTAAGTTATACATAAACTGAAGACTTTCAGTTTCAGATAAATTTATTTGATCTTACTCAATAGAAAATTTAATGCCTTAATAATTCTAACTTTATTAAGAATAACTGAAATATTCAATACAAATATGCAAAAGATGGTCATTTTTAGAAGGAGCTACATATTTTTGAATCCCAGGGTTTGGCTCAGATTCAAAAATTTGTTTCACGAAAGTTAATATGCCAATAAAAAAGTGGTAGTGTGTTTGAATAAACAGGCACCAAACTCATCCACACAGGGGTGTAAAAATCCACTTGCCCTATGCTCAGGACGACCAATTTTAGAGCTCGGGCAAGTGCGTGAGAATAGTTTATTAAACATGTGTTGAAGGTGTTTCTGTTTCAGGACTCGCACTGGTGAAAGTAAAACAAGATTGGCGATTTGAAACTGCTCTTGGCGAAAATGCAGATGAGGGAGTTTTATTTAAGTTACTGTCAACAATATAAAAAACTTTGGCAATAACTGTTTCTAGAGCAATTGCTACAGGTAAATTTTCTGTCCACGACATCGCTGTGTACTAGAACGTAACAGATGACTGCATTTTCGATAAATGGCAAGATCAGGTATTGGAACTACGTTATCTTAATGTAAGCGCCTCTCGACGCCATGCCGTTTCGGTAAACTTAGACATGAAAAGACATGAGAGCGACACCTATACTATTTTTAGCAGATATCAATGCATCGACCAATCAGATTTGTACACGTCATTCCTACAAATAGTTTTGAATAAATTACCCTAGAAACTGCGAGTCATGAGTGTAGAAAAGTGTCACAACAACGAGCCGTGATGGCGACTGTCGCAACTATGTTACAGGACATTTTTTTACACTCTTTTTTTTGAGGAGAATGATTAATAGTTTGATGGCTTCAGCCCTGAGGACATCGATCTTAATGATGTTTTTGAATGAACTGTCATTAGAAAAGAAGTCCGAAAATGATTATGTAAAAGATTAACAGCGACCGGGTGTACCGCCGCCATTACGGCATTAGGTAACGACGGCTCTGAATGGTCTCAAGATTTTTCACCGATTACTTTTAATGATTTTGTTTGGAAAAACGGGGCTAATACTTCCAGAAAATGTTGCTATTGATACTGCAGGTCCCGTTGATTATTTCTATCTTTTCTTCAATAAAAATCAGTTCACCACCATAGCCAGACACACAAACAATTTTACGCTCGCTGGCGTTTGAAAAGCGAAAATAGATTTGACCCAAAACGGTCGGATACAAATTCCGCCGCAATAAAAGCTTTTATATAGGCCCTAAATATAAACTGTATTTTAAATCTTTTTGTGAGAATTTTGGAATATTGGTTTGTTGTTTCATTTGGAAGTGATAATCTCATTGTTGAGTCCTTTCATTTATTCATTGAATCTTAATTAAAGCAAAATGAAACATTTTAAAATGTGTCTATCCTGATATACATACAGCTGATTTCATGGTTACCAGGGTATGTGTTGATGTTTTTATTAGGAAATAGCATTGAATTAAATTTAAGAAATTCTGAACATAATTTTAACTTACTGAAAATGCTTAAAACAACTATTTCACCTTCAAAATTAAGTTTAGAAAAACAAATCAAAACAAAACTTAATTTCTCAAAAACTGCCATTGAGATGGCGTATACACACTTCAGTCAGTGCAGCATTTTTGATTGCAACAATGTATCTTTGCACCATCAGTACAGAGTGTTCAAGTGTATTGGCTTGCATGTGGCAAAGGGTCAACAGATGAAATCTCTGGTCTTGGCACTTTAGCAACATAGAGCAGCCTGTTTGGATGAAGTAGGCCAGGGAATGTCACAAAATTAAATAAAAACAGAAATTATTTGCAGTGTTTTTTGTTGTCATAAAACATAGAAAATAGAATTCATTTCAATTATTGATTTCCTGTATAGGATACATTAGAATGCATATATATAATGGAATTTATCAATTAAAATTAAAAAGGGTAGTGAGGTGGGGGTGGCACTGGTCCATGATCACACGCATCTGTTAAAATTTGGCGAAACTGAATCAAGACCCAGAGAAAGCCCTGACACTAGTCTGTACATTAAATACTTTAACTTATTGAGCACTGATATGGTAAATGTGATTTTGCATTTGATTTCAAAAGTTGTATCTAGTATTTTTAGGGTAATTTTGGACCATTATATGGCACCTTTCCAGTTCCATTAAATAGTTTTTGCTTAATTTTCCCAATATCATTGCAAAAATCAATTTATTTCCCCAAAATTGTGTTTGATGTGTTTGATATTTTCCCAATGTTACAAGGCACAGACCTTCATTTTTCTTCTTCATTTTTCAATGAATCGGGGACCTGATTGTTATGACAATTAAAACATTCACCAATTCACCAGTGGAAACAGATAACTTGAGCCCTGGATCTAGATAGAGATGTAGAAACCACTGTGGAAAACACGGTAGAAACCACAGTAGAAACTTTTAAAAGATTGCAAAGCTATATATGTTAACAATATTTATTCATATTTATGATGAGACAAATCACACCAGATAATTTTTAAACTTTCACCTGTATATCTGAATCGTTCACCCCAAAGTCAAGGTTAGATATATGTAGTTTCCCTTGTGATCCTTGGGCACCAACCCCTCCTAATGTTCTCTTAAAGGGAGCAGGTGCACCATCGTACATGTCATGTTGCCACACATCTGGCATGTCTTTGGGCTGAAATGAAAAATAAAAAAGTTTTAACAAAATTAAAAGTTGCAGTAAATACTAGACAAAACAAATTGAATTACACCTTTCATTTGTGTCAGATTTAATATGGCAGTGGCTTTGAAATCTGTTGAACTCATTCACCCATGAAATTTCGTAATGAACTATTCCGACCTTTGAATTGGAAGAGTTCAAATGTGTTTTCAAGAGTGAATGACTTAAATACAAAAACAATTAATTTGCATTTTGGTAGTCTATTAGATAGAGAAGGCACTACCTTTACATGGTTATCTTGCTACGTATACATAAAGATTACACATTAATTAATAGCTAGGGCTGCAACAATTTATCATATCGTATCACAATACTTTCTTATGTATCATATTGAATTGTTTGATTGCCTGTATCGCGATACACTAATCAAAACAGTACTTAAATTATCAATCAATTGTTATCGAACTCCTAAAAAAGGGTACTTATATTAACTGAATCCTTTAGTAAAACATTATGAAGTTGACTGTTTAAGCAGAAATTTGTATTGTGATGTGTATCGTAAGGTATGCATATCGTTGCAGCTCTATAAATAGCCAGAGTTTCCTCTGGTCTCGACATGCAGACAGAACACCGACTTCCATCAGTGAGATGAAACCTGTAAGGGCGGATTCATGTACATGATGTAGGCGCAAAACCCTTCAACCAACCAACCAAATCTGGTCCCCGACACCAGATTTGGACATTTTGACAGATAGTTGTCAAAGACATCGAAGATAGCAATTGTCTCATTTCATGCTTGATCATCATGAACATGTCTAGCAATCTTTCACACAAATGGAACCTAATGAAGTACAACGTTGTATTATGACGTTGCTGCAACATTAACGTTTTCATGACGTTTTGTCCACCGAGCCGTCATCTCAAAATTCAAAGCAATCAAGTTTTAAAAGTAGTGTTTCATTCTACGTCAGTTCTGCATATTGCGCACTCTCAACAATGAACAAATAGCAAAATGTTCAGCCTGATGAAAGTGCTAATAAACGGACAGAAGCAGAAATAATATATAACCAAAACAAAGCAAATTGAGAAGAAAAGTGGCGTATTACAAGCATTTCATTTGTATCATATATATTGTAAATAAAAGTCAACATTAAAAAAAAAATTACTCTGGAATAATTGGTCCTATTGCCTCCTGCTGCTCGCCCCCTCCGTTGTACACCGCCTCTGAAGACACCCGCTCCACCACCACCACGGCCTCCTCCACTTTGGCGTCGTTGTCCACCCCGGTTACTCCCGCGATTTGTCGTTCTACCACCACCCCTCCGCGCTCCCCGGCCACCACCTCTTTTCGAACCCTTGTTAGACTTGATGATATCATCTAAACTCATATCTATCTTGTCCCCCATCTTTGATGACCTGTTAGAAATCGATCAAACAAGTGATCCTCGTGTGTTCGCGTGTTGCCGGCTTGGTTTTGAGGAAATGGCGGCATGAGCAAAGCATGATGGGAAACGAATTCACGAAAAATCACATTTTTATTTGCTAATTTACTGATCCTCTTAAGTAGCTAACCTGTCCTTTCCAAAATAATATGATAAAATGAAATACCCTTATTGTATTTAAGAATGCGTTCAAACAATTTCGAATAAATTTATTTTCTAACCAAACTAATAACTGAATGATACCGGACAAAATATCCGTCTGTTTGATTAACAGAATTTGAACCAATATTTATATTCTATCAATAAAGTCAAAGTTTGACAAACAAATAATATTTTTTGAACATTTTATCTCTCTCCAACTCATTTAGAATTAAAAACTGCAGGATTATGCTGTTTGTGCTAAAAGATGAAATTTGTTATCTAACTAACGTTAACGTTACTGTGAGGATAATTAGACTTGCTAAGGTCCACGTACACGATGTACATCAGGAAAAAAAGCAATAATTTAGGTAATAATAGGTCTTTCAAAGAACAAATAAGACAATGAAAGGATTTTTTATGAAAAAAATGAATATCGATTATGTAAGCCGGTACCATACATGCTGATTCAATACATGTATATTAGCAACTAAAAATTACAATATAATAAAAAGTATTGCTATTGCTGCTTTATCAAGGAAAAACTTAGTCGAATTTATTTTTGGAAAACCATTGCATTAAAAATAAATATGGCCACTGTATCGCAAGGATTCAGTATTAGCTGACAAGTCACTCTCATTTTAATCCTTGATTTGCCATTGGAGATGAACTTGTTGAAAATGGTGTCTTCATCATAAACACCACGCTATCTAAGTCCATGTAAACACTAAACACATATTAGACTTTATATATTAGTTTTGAAAGAATTGAACAATATATCACAGAAAACCTTTACGAAGTATCAATCAAAGTCACAATCTAATTTCCATAGCCAACTTAAATTTGGTCATCTCTTTTTCTGACTGTCAAACAACATTAAGATTATCTTTAATTGGGCGCCTTTTTAGGTTTTTTTTATTCTACTTAAACGAATATGTTGAATAAACTGTATTTATTTAGATAATAAAAAAACATTTGAAACTGTTCTTAAGAAAAGGATGCTAATTTAAATAACATGGAAGTATGTCTGTAAACTTCCAAATCAGATGTTACATGCAGCTTCGATTCTTTCCCAACAAAACGCAAAGGGTGGTAGTTAGACTGGCCACCGTCTCTAGAATATTGAATGATTAAGAAAAAAGTTTAACTCAAAACAATTTGATCACTTGGATGTCTAAGTTCTAAACTAGGGGGAGATAAACTAGTAGTAAAATGCAGCTAAGAAATTCTTCATAAAAACTTAGGGGCTGGTAGCCAGTCTAGGTGGTAGTAATATAAGCGGCGAGCAGTCTGAAAGGCCATACATCTTGGACCACTACTATTTGTAATGTTTTAAACGGTATTCCGATCTTATCACTTATCGATGCATTAGGGGAAATATGATTTATTCTAAACCTTGCGGTCATTGGATATTATGATAGCCAGAAACAGTAGGAGCGACAAAAAAAGGGGGAGGAGAAAGGGGCAAGGAATAGTCCCAAACAAAACTTTTTAATTAATCACTTGGAGTGGTGTGGATGTAGACATTTTTGATACGATTTTTATAAAACAATAATCTGAAATCTATAATTAAGTAGAGATGAGGTAAATTTTATAGTATACTTGTATTATGAAATGTATTTTTTTATTTTGAGTAAGTTAAGTGGATCCTAACTGATCATGTTCAGAAATAAACATAACTATATATGAGTTCGTGGTATCAATTTTATAATTTGGTTTGTATCACGAATTAAATTAAATCACCAATTCATTGTAGTGATACCGCATCTACTTTTTAATGATATCACCTATATAATGTATTTATTTGTCATGTCCTATTCAGTGTGAATTAGTGATGCATTTTTTATAGTGATAATATCAATATAATATTTAGGTAATATCACTATCATTAGGTGATCAGCATTCAATATGACTTGGAATAGAGAACGGCGCCCCATACTTGTGTATATATACATGTATTTTTAAATTGGGGACCTATATGCCAATGACACCATGTATTCTAAACAGAAGCCAAAACATCTTTATCATTATCGAAAGGAACTTTCAATAAACATTCAATTATTCGTATTCATAAAAAACACCTGTTTCAGTCAATAAGATGCCCACAGAGAAATTAATTATTTACTAATATATACATTGTACATTAGAAATCGTTTTTCTTATTCATGATAATTACCTAAGCTTGTTTCATTAAGGCTTGAACTGCAGTTAGGTTGAAGACTTAGATTTTAGCAATTCCTCCATGAGTACCTTATTGAATACACTTGCCAGTAATAACCCATAAAAAATATATCTAGAAAAAAATCGTTATATGAGTATGCATAACATTTCTAAGAAAATCTTGACGTTCAGAGGAGTTTCTCTTGAAGTTATAATAAATAAGGAAATATTTTCTTTTCAAAATAACTTGATATCTAGACTGCATACATATATACATAGATCTACTATATATGGCCACGGACTTAGATAATTCCGTGATATTGCATTCTATGATTTTTTTTCCAAGAAATTCTCAGTTCAGCAAACGCCAATATATATAATCAACTAGACATACTACAGTCCACTCTTATTTCTTTTAAGGAAACGCGTTGCATAAAATATGTTTTACCAATTAGTAATTTTGAAAAGGTTTTACCAATTAGTAATTTTGAAAAGAATACTTGAAATCCGCACTAGGTGAAGTAACCCGGATTGAGCATGTCCGTCATTCGGCTTTATTTAGAATCACCCTAATCTTTGATGTAAGCGACCAGAAGCAGACAGCTGTACTTCCGCATCAGACGATGAGATGCTACTCTATCACAGAAGTCATGCAAGCGAGTAACTTTGTGCATGTTTATTTAAAATAAACAAAAAACAGGAAACATTTTGACCCCAAGAATGACCATTTGTCAAGAGACTATGGACTTGGATCACGATTCTAAACCCCGGCATGCTGTTTTCACGAAGGTAAGTAGCCGGGCTGACAGATCGAACGAATGTCACGATATATTCGAATGACATTGAGATTTGACACTTAGGAATACTAGCGTGAATTCCATTCTTTGCATCCAACTTACGTTCATACTCAGCAAATTGTAAGATTTTTACGTTGGGATATATTGTATGTATCTACGATGCAGTTATAATATTTCTAAAAGACTCTGTCTCCAATCATATGAATATGTGACAGTCTGACAATATGGAGCAGTGTTTTGCTGTATTGTCAGTTTATCGGGAAAGCTGTTGTTTTGTCGGGGAGTCTTGATGCCTATGTTTCATTGGTATAAAGACGCAGATACCTCTAAAAACTATTTTATTATATGCATTACTCACTTTTTGCAATTTATTCCTTCTTCTGACATGCTTGATATTAAATAGACTGTACTTAGGCCTTTACAAAACGGAGAATGTAACCCTTTTAGAATGCTATTTGACATACATACATGCAAGATTGTCAATCTACATCTAGTACATTACTTTGTACCACTTTGTACAACCCCTGGCCCAGGAAATAAATTATCTATTCTAAACCCTATATATGTTTTATGGTTAACTTTCAAATTGTGTTTTTAATTTAATTCCATTTGAATATAAAATTGTAAACTTTAAGAAGATATATAAAGTATATTGTATTTATAGCCTGCTGCATTAAGAGCTCTTTATTTTGTTTTATTTTACAAACACATATAAAATTTGATGCAGAAAATCAATACATGATAACTTTCACTAATAAGGACTGTACATGTACTGAAATGAACAATTAAGACCCTGTTTAGAGAAACAACTCCTGATGTCCAAGATGTCTGGAGTCAGAATGTTACCTACCAGCAAACCTGGGTTCAAACTTTGTCAAATGATCTAAACCCTACAGGGGTTGACATAAGCCCTACAGGCTAGTGGATTTTCTTCTTGCGTTAACATATCCAAATTGAGACCCAGACTACTTCTATAAATAGGACTCTATTAAAAAACTTAAGGAAAACAAATAACTTATGCTAAAAAAATAATTTGTTAAGGGGCTGATTGAGCCTGAAGGTATCAAATTCAACTGTCCCAGTTGGCCATCGTGATCATTTGCTCTTGAATTTACCCATTGAGCTTGTTAAAAGTCTTTAGTAATACTGTTAATATGATTGTTGAAGTACACATTCATTATATGAAGAAATTGAAAGTTCATGCAGATACAAAACTAGCCATATTCATTCATCATACAGAGAGATTTCAATCATGATAACAATGTACTTGTGTGTTACTATATGTTCATGTACATATATACCTGGTATTCAAATTATTTTTCAATGTTTAAGACTGTAACTTTAGAAATACTGTACTAGTCCAAGATTGTATGCACAGGAACTGGAAACATCTAGCGATTCTGGCATCAATTAACATAAAAAAGAAACAAATAAATAAATAATCAGTTTATGATTGCCTTAGATGTAATGCTGTATATGAATTAAAACTGCATATTTTTCTTGTTGAACATTCATAAAATTTATGCACAGGAAGTCCTGTGTATAACATTTCCTGCTGGAACTACGACGTCTATCATAAGTGGACTGTACAATGTATTACTGAGCCAAAGTGCTGTGTCCTGGCCACCAGGAAGCATCCACCCTAGCTAGTACACATTACAGCATTGTGTTGGTGGGACATTATATCCTGTTTGTACTAACACTAAATACTCAGCTCGACATAGTATCCTATTGACCTTTTACCTTCATGTCTTGACGGTAATTGATGCGTTTCCATTCAAATACGACTGTTTCCTTATTTTTATTTTATTACATCCATATAGGTGTCTTCGTATATTTGACTTGTGAGGGGTATAGGAGCGACCTCATCCATTAGTGGGTTTTCTTTTGCTTTCATATTGACTCCCAATTCTTCAGAATTTCCTATAGCCATAACTGTTTCTATTTGTACATGTGCATTATATGGAGCACTTATAGGAATGAATATTTATAAGATGTACAAAGAAAATCTATAAAATCTAATTGACTCCGATTCAACATTTTGAACGTGGAATGCTGTGATACAAATAAAACTGGAAACGTTAGACATGATGTCGCTGGGAATGTGTAAGTTTTCTGTTCTGATCCATTTTATATTATATTTGAACAAATAAATATAGAAAGAAGTATTATTGTATAAAAGGGTTCCTTTGTGTATCGTATTAAACCACTATGTATAAAGATCTAGATAGCTCCTTTGTTATTTTATTTTATATTTAAAAATAGGAAATGATCAGAAAACCCTTGTGTTTTATTTTTCTTAAATTTCAAAAATATCATATGTAACTCATCAGCTTGATTTGATAACCAAAACCATTGCTTGGAGGACCTCTCTATTGTACAAGAAGTTATGATAGAGTTTCTTACTTATTCAGGAAAAGTAATAAGAAAATGTTTGACGCAAGGATAGACATGATGAATATATATTGTAGATAGGATTGTTATGATTTATCAAAATCTAATTAATCTTGACTTTGAACATTGAAATGACAGCAGTGAACATTTTTTGGTGACAGAAACCATGGTATACGGATTCAGGATTTTGTGACAGGGGGAGGTGTGGGGAGGTGGTGAGGTGCAGAGCCATACATTGTAGCTCAGATGCATGGGGACATTGAGAGTACACATTTTTCTTTGCAAAACTTAAAGACCATATCCACCAATGGTTTATCTGTCATTGATGCAGATTTATGTATGTACACAGCTAAATTATTTACAATATGAAGGCCATTTAGGAAATATACAAAGCTTAAATATGTGTACCGATGATTATGATGTTCCTCTGTCTCGTAAGTTATACAACAGCCGGGATTACTGATAGCTTTAACTGTAAATATTTTTTCATAATTACCTAAATATTATTTATTATACACCTGGACAAATAATGCTGATGACGGTAAACTTGGGAACGAGGTCTGGGAAACAAAACTTCTGTAAATTATCCTCTAATGGAAAGGAACCTTAATTGGTCTGTTTCGGAATCCTGCTGGTTTCGCTGTTCTGTCTGTTATTACACTTATTTACCTCACGTTCATATCTCTGGAGTTAGTTAATTTTCAAATTACATGAAGACACAACGTTTAACTCACGGGAGTAAGATAAACATCATAAATGATAGAGTGATATTATGCAGAATTTACTGTAATGAGAAACCATATTATTCTTTAGGAAATACTGGGTGTATGATTTCTGTTTTTGATCCAAGGAAACGATAGCCATAATGCATAACATCACATGGAAATATGCTGATGCAAAGCATTGATATAGCGTGACATCGTAAAAGAGTGGCAAATGAAATTATGTCCCGATTATTAACCACATAACACATTGGTAAATTGAAAGGTTTATATATACCAACTCCTAGCATATTTATCGAATACACTTGAACTTCAGGAATTAAGAAACATATACAATGGTATGGGAAAAAATACAGTTAAAACATATTTGAGGGCACTGAAAAGGAAGCTTTTGTTACAGTGAACTGATTTCCTATGGAGTTTGTCAAAGATGAATGCAAGACATATATGTGATTGAACCTATACAATTTGGAAATTAATTAGTACATGTATATGCCAAAAATAAGTTTTACTACATCATACATCTGTTTCGTCCATCCAGGATTCAGCAGTAATGCTAGGGGCCAAAACGATGGAACTCCAGATGTTTTTTTACTGTTGGTGATATTTTTTATTCACCAGAAAGGTTTTCTTTCTTGTTTAGATAATAGAAACAGTACTTATTGTTTTAAAAGACATCATACAGCCCATAAAAAAGATATACTAGTATATCTTATCATATTATGGTGAACAATTCCCTATGAGCACTAAATTTACAATCACAATTGTTTATATTTGTTAAGCACGACCATGCCTCAGGTATTTAAGTTTAATGTGTAATGGGTTTGCAGAAACGTTATTGCTTTCCTGGAATTTCTCATTGTTACAATAGGTGATTGATATACACTATAGAATATCTGTACGGCTGTTTATTATCTACGGGGAAAAAAATTAAATGGATCACTAAAATATTCATTAATATCCTAATGTTATACTTTTCTATCATATTTTGCTATTAATTGCTTGCTTTAGCTTGTAAGGTATCAATATTCAAATTAATACTGCAGAACAAAATTGACGCATTTATTATTGCTCTGACTTCACGTAATTATAAGCATCTCTAGCCCAAAGGCATTGATCTCTCGCAGAACGTCATGTTATCAAAGCTCCTTGTTCTGTCGTGATCACAAATGGTACAGCGGCAGCCTCACGTTCTGTGTGGAGCAACATGATTACCATTAAATACACGGATATGTATCGTGTTACCTGCTTGAATAATTGATTTTTACATGATTCTAAACTGATTATGTCATTGTGATTATCATAATAACATTTCAATCATTTTATCAATAAAGTCTTGTAACACTATGCACATGTTAAGTCAGATATGGTAATACACCACAGTGTTACAGCACCCTTTAGGTAAAGTAAAAAACTACTAGTGTTATAGCATGTTTGGGTAAAGTCAACTATAGTATAACAGGGTAAATTTAAAGTCAAATACAATGTAACAGCGTGCTAGGTAAAGTCAAAAACAGTGTTACAGCATGTTTGGGTAAAATCAAATACAGTGTTACTGCATGTTTAGATATTTAGTAAAATACAGTATTACAGCATTGTTCAGATAAAGTCACATACCGTATAACAGCGTGCTTGGGTAAAGTCAAATACATTTTTATAGCATGTTTAGGTAGTCACCTACCCTGTGACAGGGTATTTTCATGATTACAGCATGCCAAGGTAAAAACAATAATAGTGTTAGAGCATGTTTAGGTAAAATCAAATACAGTATTACAGCATGTTAAGGTAAAGTCAACTAAAGTATTATAGAGTATTGTTATAATTACAGCATGCACAGGTAAAGTTCAATACAGTTTTACAGAATATTAATGTAAAG